TCCATTTCACCTTAGCTATTACACCTCTCATGTTTGCCCCAGCCAGCTTGTACAAAATGTAGTGATAGCCTTCCCGATATCCTTTTTCGTCTTGTAGTAGTCAAGCTATGGCTTTCAAGTTAGTGCATGCCATCTCCACATTATCTCTATTAAACTTTTTGTTTAATTTGTTCTATGTTACGAATCCCCCCCAGAGGTGGCCATGTGCGGCCAAGGCCAGGGTCATGACCCCGCGGCCACGCCACTTTGCAACAGCGTGGCAGCTAGTAGGGACGGGGGGGCTGGGGGGGTGGAGGCTGATTGGGGTTGCGAAACCCCAACCCCAACCGCTTGCAGAATTTTTTTTTTGAAAAAGAACGAATTTCGGGAGGGGATGGGTTGGGTGTAAAAATGAATTTTCAACGAAAAAGAAATTTTGATTGATCGATTGATCGATTGATTGATTGACTGATTTATTCATTGATTGGGATTTGGTTTGGTGATTGATTGGTTGATTGATTGACTGGGATTGATTAATTATTGTTTGATTGATTGATTGATTGATTGATTGATTGATTGNNACCCGATGCAAGTGCTCGTAACACGCTACACAACCCTTGCGCCCCCCTTTCTCCCGGTCCTCTACATGATTCAGTCATCACCTCTTCTCCTTCCCCCACCCGGCAGTAGATCACCATCGAGTGGGTATAAGACCTACCCTTCCCCCACTTAGACTCGGGAGCATCTTCCTTGTCAACATCCAACAGAGCATACCAAGCCCCTGAGAGCCATAATAAGCATTTGGATAGACTGTTCCCTGGGAATCTCACTCATCATCTCTCGCCGCAGCAAAATCCGCCTCCTCGCCTCTTCTCCTCCCTTTCACCTGCCGACAACTCGATCTCTGTTTCATACTGAAACCACGTAGTCAGCTTCTGGCCCCCGTTACTTAACCTTAGGGAACACCTTCCCATTATGCTCCAAAAATGTAGCAAGTCGCCGAAGGCCGTACCCATCCGCTGATATACTTGCAGATATGCTTGCCGATTACTCACCATATCTATTTCATTCCAGAACGTACCTTGTCCCCCGTCGCTCAGAGTACCTTGTCCCCTGTCACTCAGAGTACCTTGTCCCCCGTCGCTCAGAGTACCTTGTCCCCCGTCACACAGAGTACCTTGTCCCCCGTCACACAGAGTACCTTGTCCCTCGTCACTCAGAGTACCTTGTCCCCCGTTGTCCACCGTCACTCAGAGAACATCTTCTCGACATGCCACAGAACGCAGACCCTACCCCTCTGCAGCCTGTTCTCCTTCACCAGCCGATAACTCACCACGTGTTTCGGTTCGAACCAACCTTACTCCCCCACACACACAGTTAGCTACCCTTCGGAACGTCTTCCCGATGTGCTACCGAACGCAGCAAGCCCCTGAAGACCATACCCATCTGCAACCTGTTTTTTTCACCCTCCTTCACCTCCTGATCACTCACCATCAGTTACGGTTCGAACCTCTACCTTAACCCCCACAGTCAGTTACCCTACTAGCCTACAGAACATCTTCCCGATATGCTCCAGGGCATAGCAAGTCCCCGACAATCATCATACCCATCTGCCGCCTGTTTTCCTTCCTTCACCTGCCAATCACTCACCTGTTCTCCTTCCTTCACCTGCCGATCACTCACCACGTGTTTCGGTTCGCACCTACCTTAACCCCATAGCAAGCCCCTGAAAACCATACCCACATCTGCAACCGGGTTTTTTCACCCTCCTTCACCTCCTGATCACCAACAAACTGTTTCGGTTCGAACCTCTACCTTAACCCCCACAGTCGGTTACGCTAGCCTTCGGAGCATCTTCCCGACGCGCTGCAGCAGAATGCAGCCAAGTGCCCAAAGGCAACCCCCCATCTATCTGCAGATAAGACTTGCAGATGAAGATCTGACCTAACGATCGTTTCCGTAATTATTTTTATGATGTGACAAGCTCTGCTAACTCTCATAGAAATGAAAGAAATGATAGAATACAATAAATCTACCAGCCCAGATTCGAAAGATTTCACCAAAGATGTATCGGAGCCTACCTTCCTTCGAGGGAGAAGAGAATTTTCCTGTCAGCGATAGGCTGCAGCAGCTCCGTCTGCGCTCCACTTCCAGATATCGTATGAAGTCCTATTGCCTCTGCATAGTCAGCTCAGCTAACGCATGCCTCTCTCCAAGCACTCAGTACATGAGAGAGGTAGAGAAAGGAAAAGAAGAAAAAAGAAAAGGAATTAAAAAAGAAGAAAAAGATCACAGACAAGGTGTTAGACTTCATCCGGGCGTTACAAGACGTAAGGTATTCTATACACCCAAAAAAAGGCATCACCATTCTGGCATGGAGCGACTGACACTCCATGGCACGGTTCCCCTCCAGCGCTGGCATGTGCAGCACTGAGATAAGAAGAAGAACAATGTCGCCCAGACGAAGAAGCTCAGATAGATGGTGATGATGACTTGCCTGACCTCTCTATCGCAACCACTC